CAGAGTGAGCTATTAAGCAGCTTTGTAAAATAATTTATTCTCACTTAATTTGGCATTTCATCCTGGGAGATAAACATTTCCTTCAAGTATTTGGAGGATTACATTTACTGTGTTCCTCCTCCCTCAGCTGAAACTGGCTGGGAACCACTCTGGTATTCACTGGTGATGCTGACATGCGTCTGCCCCACATCCCACACCACTGGTCAACAGGTGCAGTGGTGGCACTTGGTTCCTTCAGGTATTTGAATGCATTCAGCTCCCTTGTTAAATTTGGGACTACAGAAAAGGCTTCAATTAATTGAATGGAGATGGTACTGGAATGGACATGGTGCTGAGCAACCAGCTGAAGGTGGCCCTGTTTGAGCAAGGGGTTGGAAAGATGACCTCCAGAGGGTCCCCTCCAACATCAACAATTCTGTAATTCTGTTATTAAGGCACTTAGATCCTGAAATATATAAAAATATCGAAAGGTGTTCTTATTTGAAACAAACAAATAATAATAATAATAAAACAATCTTTTGCTTGGTGAGCAACTAGGCATTTCTCATCAAAACAGAGAGGGAACTGTACCCTCCTTCTGAGTGGCCTGGAGACCATCTCCCTTCCTCTCCCGGGACTACCGAGTCTTCTTGTCAGGTTACAGTCCTGCTTTTCTCATTGAAGCTTAATTAATGATGATTATATAATCCTCCCAAATGGAAAATCAAATCTCTTGTATTTGATTTAGCACAGCCAGTGACTCATGCAGTCACTCCGCACAGCTTGCACTGCTGCTTCGCTGGTCGGCCCCTCTTGCCTGGGCACAGATAATTCGAGGGTGGTTCACTCGTGTGCAGGCAGCTCGTGTCACATCCCTGGTGGAGATACAGCTGCAGAAATTACTTGCAGCAGGAGTCACAGAGCACTGCACCATCCTCAGGACCAGCCCCGGCACGGATGCTGCTGCTAACCCAGGTTCGGGGCCGGTGCAGCTCCTCTCGCCTCCAGCTATAGCTGAGCCCAGGAGCTCTAGGGACAGTGATCTTCTGAAAGACTGAACACATGCTGTGAGCAATGCGAGCTTTTCTGGCAATTTCTGGGGGTTGCACATGCATCTCCCTGCCCTGGACCATCTCCCTTCTGAGATGGGGGAAGGCTGCCAGCGACTGCTCCACTGGGGGAGCAGCACAGGCTCAGTGTAGGCCACGTGAGATCCCTGACAGCAATCCTGGTGACAAGTCACCATCGTAGATATCAGGTATTTGTCCTGCTTTAGTTAAATGAATAATTAAATAAATAAATAATTTCTCATTGGCTTCTCAGTGTTACAGCAAAATGGCCTTTAAAGCTGAAGGGGGAATTAGCCCCACAGCTCCCGCTGAAGTTAGGGAGAGCAGCTAAGCCCCTAAGACTTTCTAAGTCCCAGTCCTTCAAATTAATCCATTCAAACCCATCCCTATATGATGCTCTCAGCCATAAGTCACAATGCGATTAACAGAGGAGGTAGGAGGGAAGGGAAAAGGACACCGGGACCCCAGCACACATCACTCTCTTCCCCTAAGCACTGCTTCTGTACCAGCAGCGAACAAGAATAAAACAAGCTGGAGAAAGAGAGAACTCAGGGGAGGTTGTGTAAAAGGTTACGTGGAAGGAGAATGAAGCTAGTGACATTTCTGTTAAAAGAGGCCGAAAACAGACCTACCAGGACTTCAAAATGTTTGATGAAGGTTGAGAAGGAAAGGTTTGGGCTGCCGTTAGGACTGTCACTGCCACGACACTTGGTTAATGGGAATGGGATAGGTCAGTGTTCGGGGGGGCACAGCCTAATGTGGGGGACCCTGCGCTGGCATAGCAGGGACACGCAGGGATAGCAAGCTCAGGAAATGCTCAGCAAATCGTGGAAAACAAAGGTAGAATTTGGCATCGGGTGGCTAAAAGGGAACGGCAGAGATTTGTATTTGGAGAGGAACATCCTGTATTCGTCTCCCATGCGTAAAAACATGCTCACACTTCCACTGCTGTGAAAAGCTACAGGGAAAAGCATTCCTGAATACATCCATAATGAACATCTCCTGCTAATTAAGCTTAATTTGCAATTTCTGTCTTTCTCCCTCCATGGTGTGATCTGCTAACTCTTTTCTTCTCTTGGGCTTAGCCTCTTTCCTCCACAAACACCTCTGAAAAGCAGAAGCAGGGGCCAACCTGTAGGAAGAGCACTGCCCTGAGTGATGCATCTCTTCCCTGCCACCCTTCCCACTGCTGCCTTTCTCACCCGCCTGGCTCAGGAGCTCTGGCCTCACATCCAGCAGGGGGCTGGCTGGGGGACTGGCATTTATGTCATATAAATGTAAAAATAGAGCAATGGATGCACAAAGGTACTGACCGAAGGGTCTGGCTGCAGCAAGCCGGGAAGAAATTGAAAGAGATCACACAAAATGGAAGGTTTAGAGGAAAGTGGCACACGGAAGAAAAAGCAAAAAATTGAAGCAGAAAGCACACGTCTTATTTGAAAGCTATAAGCTGGGGTCCTTGGAAAATGATTTGGTGTCTTCTAAAATCAATGTTCCCACTTAGTTTGTATGCATTAAACTAGGGGAGATATCAGGAGCAACAGAGCGAAAATGTAAGTTTTATCATTCTTCTGAGAAATAGCCACTGATTCAAATGCTGGGATGTGAAATCCTAACGGGGAAGAGGGCAATTTTAAGGTCACGCAAAAATAAAAGGCTGAAAATCCTTGAAGAAAATGGATCAGAAATTCCCCTGGTAGAAATGTATCCTTATGAGTCAGCACCTGAAATCCGGTTTCTGCTCTAGAAAACAGAACAGCTTGGTGTGTGCGTCTGCCACACGGCCGCATTTCACTTCATTCAAACTAGAAAGCATACAGGCGGTTGCATTTTTATACAAATAAAGCCTCAAACCGTATGGCACCAAGCGAGAAATACATGCCTCCATACTGCACGTAGGTTTCTATTCTAGTCGCGTGGATCAAGACCAGAAAGTTAAATGGGGACAGGGACATTTCTTCACAGTGTGGTGTGCGGTTTCTGGAAAGCACGGTGGGGAATTTTTGCTGAGGATGACCTATTTGGAGCAATACCAGCAACTTTTGAAATGCCACTCCGGAGTTCAATCAGGCAAGTAACTAAAGCAAACTTGGGCAGGCAGGAGAAGGGAAAGCAATAAAAGAATATTTCATCTCTGACACTAATAGCCATGGAGCAATCTGTTTGTTAGGGAACACACGAGGTAAAAATCTGCTTCTCGTCCCTTGAAAGATGCTTTCCTAAGAACGACTGTGCTGCATTAAGGGCTGTGCTGAGTGTATTTCTTTCCTTTTGTTGTGGGTATTGGGCACTGTGGTGCTGGAGAGGAATGTGAAATGGCTGCGTGGGGCTGTGGTGGCCCGGTAGATTATCGGCGCTGGCACAGGCTGGAAGTCATAAACCAGTAGATAGGGTGGCACTATTCTTATTTAGCTAATAGGTACCATCTTAACACATGGTGTTAGTGAGCACAGTCCAAGCCTCCTGGTGGTGTTTGAGAACTTACCCAGCATCTGGGGCATCTGATGGCAAGCAAAGGGCATGGACAGTAGGAGCTAACACAATTTCAGCCTTCACCGCTACTCGTCCAGCTTTTGCAAATCAGCTGTTAGATCCATGGGAAGTGAAACTTACCCCTTAACATTAGAAATAGCCCTTCAGGTTACAAGCCTGTCTCGTTCAGTGGAACAACACTTACAGTTTATTTTACATAGCTAAAATAACATTTTTACAACATTAAAGCTTACCATTGCTGTAAGACCGAAAGTTTCCTACAAATTTTATGTATTCATATGTTGGAAATTCCTTTGGGTTCAAACTTCCTCTCAGAAGATGACAATAAAACTCCAGTTCATTGTCAGCTGGATTGTTAAAAGAAGAAGAAGAAATATACTATTTAAGCTAAACACAATGAACAGTGCCTTCCAACCCCAGGCATGCAACTGGAAGCAGAGTCAGAGCCCTGTGCACCAAGGTACATTAAATGGCAGGGTCAGCACCTCTGCAAGAGTGCCCGGCATGGATCTGGGCTGTTCAGGGCTATGCACAGGTCTGCACACAGCTAATTTACATGGGTTTGTTCTCTTACACTGTCTTCATCATAGGAGTTATGCTGACATAACATTGGAGTATTGAAGCAGAGAACTGGATCCTTCAGTTACTGCTTTTTTTTTTTTTCCCTGTTTAGGCTTTTCATGACTCACAGCTGTTCTACAACTCATGTTGGAAAACTATGCCTAATTACCTCAAAATATCTATTAAATTAACTTTGGCATATTAGCTATCAGCTGCAGGTTTTATATATACAGTAGATTAAGCAGCTGTACATCTTATATTTGTGTGTTCTCTGGTTTCCTACATCTTACCTCCCAGAGTGAATAAGGACGAGGCAAATAAAAGGATTTGTAAGAAAAATAAAATTCAATTTGAAAAAGAATCACAACAATTTTACAGCTACTTTTCAACTGTAGTGCAAAACAAAGGTATGCAACATTAGCATATCTCTGAACAGCATCTTACTTTAATGGGCTGAAATATCAATTAAGATGTGATTTGTCTCAGGCAAATTCCCAGTTACCATTGGATAACCTATTTTCCTTTGCTGTCTCAAAAGATACAATATTTAATAATTAACGTAACTGCAAGTAGACTTAGCCTAGTAAAATAAATGCAACGAGTTTCATTTAAAAATAGTACCAAAGGGTCATTTCAGGTGGCAAGATCTTTTTGAAATGCTACAAACGTAAGTTTTGTACTGAATGTCACATAAAAAAAAACTCCTATGAGGAATGTTGTATCCTGCCCATGCTTTTTGATTTACTGGGAAAGATAAAATAAAACTTACTTTTTAGGTAATCCGATGAGGCAGAATCTGTCATAAGCATACAGGAAGATAACATCTTATAAATTTCTGAATGTTCTTGTTCCGGGAGGAAGTTTAACAAATTTTGATCCAAGACATCACACTGCAAAGAAAAAAAGACCTTGAGGAAAAAACAGAAATGTCATGACAGAGAGCGCAGCGGCATTCACATCGCGTATCAACTCCTTCCTCCCTTGGCTGACACTGGTTTTGTGGGAGATTACGTGTGGCCCCAGCAGCATGAAGCAGAGCAGATACACAGCCTGTGTTGGCCAACAAGGGTTGATGAAATTAGGTCCACTGATTAGGGCCACCTGACAAAGTCTAGAACAAGGGAACTGCTGTGTCTAGGGAACCACTGTAGGGAACCACTTTTCCTTGGCCTGGTTCCCTACTTAATTCTTAGCATGGCACTCCTGTAAGGTTTCTCAGACCATCAGGTGCATGAGGTATGTCCGTACAATTCAATGTCAGGTCTTGGGAGTGAGCTGGGAAATGGGTGCCTGGCTCTCCACCCTGCCTGCCAGCACGATGTCCTTGGAGATGCAGGATGCCCTTGGGTGCAGGATGCTTTGGTTGCAGCCTGGGGCAGCAGCCCTTTCTCTCCCCTTTCTGCATCCTAGGAGGCAGGGCAGCCAGTTGGGAGCAGGGAGAAGGTGATGTCCTGCACCAGACATTGTTTTTAGCAGTGGCATTCGCCTGGTATGGGGAGTTCATGGTGCCATCAGTACGAGGCCTCTGGCCAGCTGTGGGCTGAATGCCCAGGTGCCTCCTGCCTCACAGCCACCCGGTAGGAACCTGAAATGCTTCCAACATCTAGGAGGGAGCTATGCTGCTGGTACTGAGATTTGGGAACAGAAGGAGGAGAACAATCTGTGCAAAAGGCCATGACCAGCCCATGATGGAGAAGACGAGTCTGTCACCGGGTTACCAAGAAAAAAGTCTTCCTGTATTCAGCACAGTGACAAACCTAATGCTAGAAAAGCATATCTGAAAGGAAGTTTTGAGATAAAGTAACCCTCTAATGGCATTAACTCACATTCATCTCACTGGAGACTACCTCGGGCTGAGCTGGCATACTGACACAGCTTCGTGTGTCATCAGAGCAGCTGCTTTCAGACTGTATGTTCATGCTGAAAATGTGTTAGCTCTGTATGAGACTGGCAAGTTATTAATCATCATCATTTATTTATGTATTTACTTAAGATTACACTTCGGTTTCCCTCTGCTTTCCACTCAAGCCTGCTGTTCTGTGTGGATTTCCTATTTAGATTGGGGAGATGTGGTGAGTATACTTGGAAAATCAGAGTGTGACAGTTTGTACCCTGACCTTGATGCAATAATATATTAATTTATTCAACTGTAAGGATTTATTACATATGCTCATTACTTGAATATCCCCTTTGTGAAGAATGCTTGAAAATAATTTTAATTTCTTTTGTACGTATCTTAATTTGCATCCAATTGATACTTTGTGTGTGACTCAGTTTTACGTGTATGTATCAACATTATATTCATACAAAATATTTTACATTGTCCATGTAATTGTGGACATATGAAGAAAGAGCACCTGAAGGGAAACTGCTGTGCTGAGTGCAGTTCAAGGCTTATGGCACAGTATCAGAAAAGTAATTTTTCCTTCCCAATCCTTTTCTACCTGTAAATGTGAGATAATGATGCTTATCCACCAGCTTCACACAAGTGTCATGAGGGTTAATTAATCTCCCATCCACTCAGCAGTAGCTGCAGGAGGACTGGAAGGACCTGCTCGCGGCTGTATGCAGGGCCTCCTCTGCACCCTGTGTGAGCTGTGACCGCTCCTCACGTTCACCATCACTTTGGCAGTCACCTGAGGTTGTACTTTCAGAGGTACCCAGCGCTAGGACAGGGGTCACTGGGCACAACCAGGCCCCCAGGAGGCTCCCCCTGAGCCCCAGGAGCACTTCTGTGCTGTGCGGGTGAGGAGCCCTGGCACAGGCTGCCCAGAGAGGCTGTGGGGTCTCCTCCTTGGGGATCTCCAAAAGCCGCCTGGAGATGGGCCTGGGCAGCCTGCGCTGGGTGGCCCTGCTGGGGCAGGGCTGGGGCCTGGTGGCCTCCAGAGGGCCCTGACAGCTTCAGCCCCTCTGTGGTGCTGTGATTCTGCACTGCCTTTTGTCTCCATATTGTGACCAAGTTTTGCAGTGTCTCTTCTGTTTAAGATCATATCCATAGGGGCCTGCGACTCTGTGTGCAGTAGGAGTTGCAGGAGGCTTTCATTCCGCCCACCCATCAGAGCAATCTGCTGCCAGGAGCACCGTCTATTCATCGATTTCACTAATTTGCAAGTCCTGGCATTTATACTATTTGCCTCCATCATGTGCTATGTCCAAAATTTATTTTTTTTTTTTTGGCATCTTTTCTGTTGGAAAATGCCAACTTTTTTATCTCATTATTATTCTTCTTATTATTTGTGGGTAGGAAAGTGGGATCTACTTCATGTCTTTCACAACTCTATCCCTGCAGAGGTTAGGCACTCCTGTAGAGCCGTGCACAAAACAATTTCTGGGGCTCATACAGCTCAGGAATACAACAATATTCTTGGATCAATATACCAATCAATAATATATTGACACACCAAACATAAAGAAGGAAGTAAATATTCTACAGTCTCACTGGGGCTGTAGGAAATATCAGGCAAGCTAATCAGAGTTAATGCTGCACCAAACCCAAAGTGCAGCCATCTGGTGTCATGGCAAACAGGTGACAGGAGAGGTGGACAACATTGGATCACCATGGACAGAAATGCATCAGTTGGAGGGGTAAAATTTGTAACTTTATCTAATTCCTCTGCTATGGGCAGCTCTTGCCCCGCCAGCAGACATAGGCACAAAGCATTGCCGAGTGAGACAGGCAAAGCAGGTAAATGATAAATTACAGTGACTGTGGGTAAAGTGGTTACACGAACTACATTAATGCATATTTATGCTGCTAAGCTTTGAATCCTCACTGTACCTTCAAATCTGTGGATCCTGCTAACAGAAACTTCTGAGAATTTATTCCTGAAAGCTATGGCAGAAAAGAAACACCACCTTTGTGTAAATGGATGCTGGTCAGCTCCAAAAAGAATACACAATAAATCTGCCCCAAGCTCTATAATCATTTGATGCACAGCTTAAATGTCTGCGTACTTTGAACAAAATAGCCATACTCCAAAATGGGGCTCTTTCATCAGATATCCACTGTTTTTTTTGGAGGTGGACAAGGAGGAAATATGATGAATAATTTTGCTGCAGGAAAAAAACACACAGGGTAACTGTGTAACAGGGTCACAACAGGACAGGGAAGACTGCAAATGGGACAGGATTCTTTCCCAGCAACCAAAAAATCAAGATAGTTCTTCTCTTGTGTGCTGGGATTTAACCTCTTGTATTGCTATATCAATCTGTATATCTTGCAATGATGCCCATTGCTACCCTATGTAACAGCAGCACAGTGTACAAAACTCTTGTACACTATAAGATACTCTTGACAATTAACTAAAGCACCCACCATAGCAGAGCAGCTGCCTAAAATTCACCTGGGAGCCAACGGGGAGAAAGAGCCCTCGGTAGGAGTTCAGCCCTGCCAGGACTCCTGCCTTGGCACTATCACCTTCTTGATCAACATTAGGGGTCCCTCAGCTATGGGACTAAAGCTGGGTGAGATGGACACCATTGTCCTGGTCCATGAGCAGATGCAGTACCTTCTGGCTGAGTCCATGGACAGGCAATGCCCATGGGAAAGCTGTCTCCTCCTGTATGTTGGAAGTTGCCACTCTGACACCTGTGTTTAATTGTTTCACTGAGCCAGGCAGGCAAGAGGGAAGAGGGAGGACCTCCCTCCAGAGATCTGCCTGTTTTTGGGGGTATAACATGTCATCTGACTGCTAAATGCTATGAGTTGTGACTGGATTTACAGAAGTTCATTTACTTTAGCTAAAGTCAGTCTTACCACATGAGATAAACCTCTCTTTACATCAACCGACCCTAGGAGTAGCCTCCAAATCTTGTAATAACAGACTATTTAGAATTACCACAGAGGCAGCTGGTATTTGAAAATGCTCCATGGAACTTAGGGAAGCTGTATTAAAGAGAATTGGATATATTTGTTCTCAGCACCAGAGTCTTTCATGATTTTAATGAAAGAAAATACATCAGATTTCTTGATAGGGGCCCTCAGAGAGCCCTGCTCCATGCTCTGCCCAGTTATGCTTTCCTTTCAGGGCTCAAAGCAGCAGATTTGCAGAGTATCTTTTTTTTTTTCTTTCTTTCTTTTTTTTTTTTTTTTTTTTTTTTCCCCTGCAGCCACAGAGGAGAAAGAATTGGTATTTTGTCTCTCAAGCAGTGACTGAATTTAGCTTCCAAATAGATCCTGGAGGTACACAAAATAAGTGATAAAAATTTTCCAGATAGCACTCTGATCAGTTTTAAAACTTAAGAAGACACATAGAAAGGACAGCGCAGGATTAAAATGCCTGGTGAGCACCTCACTGCACGCTCAGTTGGGCCTCTGCCCATGGGCATAGCAATTTGCACACCTTGGGCAGGCAGAAGCCATCATTGCTTGCTCAGTTGCTGTCTCTGGGATGCACAATGTGCTCCACAAGTTGGTGGGGCAGTGCTTGGCCATTATTGCTCCATCAGCTCTGAGCAGGTCTGTGGGGACTCCTGCCTCTGCCTGCAGGCTGGTCCCTGTGTTCTTCTTCAGCATGACTAGATAATCCTGCTCATCCTTGTCATCATTTTGGGCTGGGTACTGGGCAAGATTACCACACGAGGCATGGCTCTGGGAGGGAAAACCAATCTAGTTTTTGATGGTTCAACTCAGGAATTATGGACCTGAATCCATCCATGTTTAGCCAGGTGATGGAAGCAGTTACAGAGGTAACCTTGCAGTTTTAGGGACAGGGTCTGAAATAAGTGACCCTCCTGAAGAGCAGTCATTTCCTGAGCAGATCTACCATGTCCACTAAGATCGATATTTGGAAGGAAGCATGAAACACCCAAACCATGAAAAAAAACACAAGCCAAACCAAAGAAACTCCATGGAAATCAGAAAGCACATGAAAACACAGCAATTCGCATGCAGGACAGGGCTCTCTCTGTCTTTGAAGTGAAGACAAATGTCAGAAAATAGTCAACCACTGGGCTTCTCAACTGTTGAGGATTAAAGAAAACTGAAATAGATAGATTCAGTTCAATCTGTTGTTGCATAGCAATATTCTTGCATTTACCGGGAGCTGCCGCCTTTCATCAAGTTCCTTTCGCCTCAGAAGAAAATAATTTTTGTTCGTATTACAGCAAGGTAGCGTGTGTGAAATACATTTGGCTGGGTGGAAAACATAGCACGTATTTGGTGAAAAAGTAAACGAGAGAAAAATAATTGTAATTTTCCTAAGAACATGGGATGGGGGTGGTGCAATAATGATTTGGCAGCTATTTTTTTCTCCTGGGCATGCATTTATTTGAGACCAAGCTACTAAAAAATGAGCGTTTGCATTAATCCTTAATTACTGTGCCATTTCTCCTAGAGCAGCCTTAGCAACAGGAGCAGGGTCCAGAGCAGTCCCTCTGTGCTGCTCCTGCAGCCCAGCCCAGCAGACACAGGAGCGTATCCAAGAGCAAGACCCACAGATAAAGCAGTTGTGTGTGCCTGACCCCAGCACAAAGCATCACCTGGGAGCAGGGTGTGCTCACCTGGGGAAACCCAAGGTAGTTGGGGGAGCAGCCTCAATGAGCAGCAGCCACCAGCTAACTCCCACCCCTCTGAATTCAGCGGGGTTTTGTCCTCTGCCTCCCTGGAGCAGAATAAAGCCCTTACCACGCTCCTCGCCAGGCTGCCAGAGGCACTGGTGCCGTTCTCACTAGCTTAGAAATCAGAGATGGAAAAAGATCAGCCAGGTCACCCCGTCCCTCCCCTGGCCAGAGTATTCCCGCAGAGCTTTTTCCATTCAGACCCAAGTGCCTCATAGCAACAAAAACCTGAAGTGCATGAATCATACTGAAAGGGAGCAGAGCTGATCAACAGCGGCGACCGGCATAACGCAGGGACAAAAAACCCCTCTCTTGATTTGCAGGAAAACATCCTTCCCATCCCAGCCCCCACTTTTTTTTTTTTCGTGTCCGTTTCTAAAAACTGCAGGGCCCGATCCCATGGTTTTTAGTAGGAAAGCTTATGCTGTAGTTACTCACCGGCAAGTGCCCTAGAAGAGGAGTAATGCTGTCAGACACGTAGATGATGCTCCCACCTGTGGTTACTGCGATGATGAAGCCATCTAATGCCTAAGGAAAACGTACAAGCGGAGAGTGCTTTAGGAGGAAAGAGGGGTGTAAACAGCGTGTCTCGCCGCATGTTGATCAAACCTGTTTTACTTCAGCGCCGTGTGGTTATTGAGTCGTAGGAATGTTATCTCAA